AAATTTCCCAGCTTATCTTACAAAGCATCAGTGACCCTGATGTCAGACACATTATAAGAAGAGAGGAAAAAAAGAAAACAATATCCTTCATGAATACAAGCATGAAAATCCTGTTTTTTTTTTTTTTAAAGTTAGTAAGTCAAATACAGCAACAAGTAGAAAGGATAATACATCATGACCAAGTGGAGTGTATCCTGGAATTCAAAGCTGAGTCAACATTCAGTAATCACTAATTCACCATACCAACAAATTTAAAGAGAAAAGCATTTAATCTTTGTAGTAGATGCAACAAAAGAATTAGACAAAATTTACCACCCATTTATGAGAAAAATGCTCAGCAAACTAGGGGTCAAAGGTAACTGTCTCAGAATCTCAAATAACATCATACTCATGGTAAAAGGCCAAAAGCTTCCTACTGAGACTAGGAACACACCGAAGTCTTCTCTCCCTATTACTATTTGTTTGTTTGTCATGGGTCACAGCTCCTGAGTTCAAGTTATTCTCCCACCTCAGCCTCCTGGGTGCTGGAAATGCAAACATGCACCACCATGCTGCCTGGCTATCACTGAAACTTCATGCTACAGGTCCCAGTCAGTGCAGTGAGTCAGGAAAAGTAATGAAAGGCATAAACAGAAACCAGGAGATTCCAAAGTGAGAAGGATGCAACCAAACATTTTTTCAAGTGTTAACTTAAAAAGCAGTATTTATATGCATTTCCTTCAGCCACTCTTCGTTGGAACCTTTCAATGGAAGCAGAAGCTTGTCTTCCTATGTGGCAACTGACCAACCTAAGAATACCTTGCAGTGCAGTCACCTTTTTGTTATTTAACTGTGTGTAGACTACTTGATTCTTAGATGAAGAACAAAGAGACTAGAATTTGTTTAATAAATTGAGTAATACCACAGTTTCTTACTACGTTGACAGTAAGTGAAGTTGACATTTTTGTGAAACAGTGAGGTTTGAACTCATGGCTTCATGCTTGCTGGGCAGCCACTCTACCAGTTGAGCCACAACCTCAAGCCCTTTTTTGACAGGGTCTCATGCATTTTTTGCCTGTGATTGACCTCAGGTCATAATTCTCCCAACATGCATTACTTGTTTGTTAAGATGGATTTGCTTTAACTTTTTCTCCCAGGCTGGCCTTAACTGTGATTCTTCTGATCTCTGCTGCCTGAGTGACTGGGATTACAGGTATGAGTTCCTGCACCCAGCTATACCCAGATTTTTGTTGCATGTCAAACTACCTGAGATTTATTTTGGTTCACAGTTTCAGAGGTTTCAGATCAAGGTGAACTGAATCTGCTTCTTGGGCCTGAGGCCTGGCAGAATATCATGGTTTTGGGAGCATGTGGCAGAGACTGCTCACTCCATGGTGGCAGAAATAACAGGAAGGGGGCCAGGGCCAAGTATACCTTTGAAAGGCACAATCCAAAGTGACCTATTTCCTCTACCTAGGCTTTAACTTCCATGGTCCTACCACCTTTCAGTAATCTACTCAAGTTTTGAATTCATCAAGGGGTTGAACCGTTGATTAGGTCAGTACCCTCATGATCTAACTGTATTTAGAAACTCCCTCATAGACACACCCACAGTTGTGCTTTGCTAACCTCCTAGGCATTTCTCAACCCAATCAAGTTAACAGTCAAAATTGACCATCCCAGTTTGGCACTGTGGTACACTCCTGTAATTCTAGCTTCTTCAGAGGCAAAGGCAGGAGGATCCAGCATTCAAGGCCATCTTGGGCAAAGTTAGTGAGACTCTATATCTAAACCAAAATACAAAGGAAAGGGCTGGAAGGGGGTTGACATGACTTTTGCCTAGCCTGGGCAAGGCCCTGGGTCAATCCCCAGTACCAGAGAGGTGGGTGAGGGAAGTCATCACAATAGAACTGTTTATCTCACAGTAGTTATATGCCATTACACTACTGGCATCAAAATTTGAGAAGGTTTTTTTTTTTTTTTTTGTAAGTGTACTTTGTTTTCAGAGCTTTCAGAAGTTAGTTTTGAGTGTATTAATCCAAATCTATGTGAAGTATAACTTTACCAACTTTTGTCTCGCAGATCCACAAACTATTTACTGAAGCATACCCATAGGAAGGTAAAATTGAAGGCAATGCGAATATGTTTGAAACTAAAAATGGAATTTATAGTGACAGAACAATTAATTCTTTTATTTTTTACATGATTCTCAAGTCTAGAAATGCATGTCTAAAGTAAATATTCTCAGATGAAGAAAGAGGTAATTGGGTTACTATTTTGTACGTATTTACTAGACATAAACTTATATGAGTACTATGTGAGCTTCAGGAATACACTCCAGCACTGCTATATCTTTTCTCATTAATGTTGCTCACCTCATTTGTTTAATTTGAAATACCAGTAATACACAAAGTTGAATGCATAGAAGTGTAGAATGACAAAAATGAACATATTCAGGATGCTGTAAGTGCCAACCACTGCGCAAGTGTTTGAAATATATTGTTTACTTACAACAATGTGAAATGCATGTTATTACTACTGAATTTATAAGGGGATAAGACAGGGCCTCAGTATCCTCCCCAAGGCCAAGTTCATACTCTCAAAGACTACAAAAGTACAGTTTACAAGTTCCATAGCAAAGGGATAAGTAAATTGTTATGTTAACATTTTCTATTAACATTAGAGAAAGCTTCTTGGAGGAAAATATCACATTTGTGAAGGAGGCTTGGCTTAATAGGTGGAGGGAGGTCTGCCTAGCAAGCAGGGAGCCTTAAGTTCAAACCCCAGTACCAGTACCACTAAAATAAAAAAGATGCCTTTTGCATACAACAGGATATGCAGCAAGTAGAAAACAGCATAAACAAAGGAGTGAGAAAGTAGGGGAGATAAGCTAAATGTGATCCAATTATGCTGAATGGTTTTTTTTATTCTTTTTATTTTTTATTAGGATATATTCATTGTACAGGGGGATTTATTGTGACCAATTCCAAACAGGTTTATATTGTACATTGGCTGGATTACCATCTCTCCCCAACCCCCTCCCTGCCCCACTTAATGCAATTGTAAGAGATTTCATTGTTCTATTTCATGTAAGTATATGAAGTCCATCAACCACGTTCCCTCACCTTAATCTCACCCTTCTCCCTCCCACAAGTACCCCCCACACACACTGTACCTATTTTACAGTCCTGTCTTTCGTTATTAATTTCTAAGTCAGTGTTCAAAGGGGTTTTTCAGTGTATCCCTGCTGTGAGTATACTTTACTTTGGTCTGTTTATCCCATTCCATTACTCTCCCTTACCCCTTTTCTCCCAGCCCTCAGTTTTCAGTAGCTTTCAGTACACATCCTTATAACCTCTACCTTCACGGATGCTATATATTATGATATTATCGACACTTTATTTTCTCCTTTCTCTCCTTCTCTGAGTTCCATAGTGTAATTCTACTATTACAAACATGTTCTACATATAAATTTACACATGGTCATGTTTGCTTTTAGGTATATGTCTATTTTTTTTATCTGTCTTCCACACTCAGCCTTTAACTTTCTGAACCTGGCTTACTTCACATAACCTGAAGTTCTCCAATTGCATCCATTTACCTTCAAACGCATGATGCCATTCTTCCTTATTGCTGAGTAAAACTCCATTATATGTCACATTTTCTTAATCCAGTCCTCAGTTGTAGGGCATCTAGGTTGTTTCCATGGCGTGGCTATTGTGAGCAGTGCTGTGATAAACATCACTGTGCAGGTGTCTCTGTTATATCCTGACTTACGTTCCTTTGGATATATGCCCAGGAGCGATATCACTGGATTTTATGGCAGTTCTGTTTTTAGCTTTTTGAGGAATCACCATAATGCTTTCCATAATGGTTGTACATGCTAAATGTTTTAAAACGAGTAATAGGAGCCAGTGTTGGAAAGGTATGTTTGGATCAGATTTTGAGAAGCTTTCACAAATGTCATTTAAGCCAGTTTGTATATTTTTCTTACAGGCAAGAACTAAAAAGCACAAGAGAACTATCTATGTGCTTGGTTAAGTGTGGAAGCTCCTAATAAACTCCAGTTAGCATTTCTTTAAGAACCTAATCATAAGATTTTTTTCTCACAAAATTTTCAGCCAACTTTTCTAACTGTAAGATAGACTTCAGTATTCCCAAAGACTCATTTCAGTATTTATCATGTACTGTGCACATTTTATTTGATGTGTTTTTTTGTTGATGTATAGTCTGGCATTGATAATAATATTTCTAAAATGGAGTACAGTTGCACTGTATCCATTGTGAGACATATTCTTGTAAGTAGAATCCAATTATAAGTCTCAATTTGGTGATTTTGTACTGAAATGTATCCTTTTGGCATCAATATTGCAATAACAATCATTAGCTTAATCATTAGCATAATAAATATTGACATTAATACCATAATTCACCGATACACTAAACTAAGTGATTAATGAACAGGTTGGAGTTTGAATCCCAGTATTGTGATTTTTCTTTGTAGCTCAGAACAAATTACTCAGTCTCTCCAAGACTGTTCTTTCATCTGTTAAGTGAGGATGATAACAGCTTCATGAGTTGTTGAGAAGATTAATATTTATAACATGCATGGCACGTAGAATATGCTCATAAGTTCTAATAGCTGCCGTTCTTGGTAATCATTACAAGTTAATATTAATAAGTTTAATGTTTGTATTCTTTGGTTTAAAATGGTTCTGATTATGAAATTGATGCTTTATATTACATTTTAAACCAGCTAACAGTTGAGAAATAGTGTAGTGGTTAAGAACATGACTCTGAGCCCAAATTTATCTTCACAACTTATTACTAGGCTGACCTTGAACAAGTTAAATGCCCTGTATATCACTTCTCTCAGCTTTAAAATGAGTGTGTAACAGTAGTACATTTCTTTCAGGAATGGTTATAAGGATTAGGTCTTACAGTTTTTTACACTTAGTGTTGTCAGGTTTTGTCACTACTATTAATTTGTTGTTGAATAAATTATTTTTGTCACATTTTAGGTGAATCTTGGAAGCAACCAGTACCTTTTCTCTGTCATAGTGGATCCTAAAGAAATGCCCTGCTTCTGTTTGCGCCACGATGTTGATGCCCTGCTCTGGCAACCACACTCTGGCAAACAAGATGACATGTGGGAGCACATTGCAACATTCAATGCACTAGGTATAAGCCTGCCCTCTGACAGCATTTCCATTAGGTCAAAAATGAGTCATTATTATTTTTAATTTCTCTTTTCCTTTTTAACTTGAGCAGCCCAATTACATGCAGATGTATTTACGCTATGATTTGGTTGCTTATGTTATAGTTAATGGGGTTAGTACTATTAGAACAGTAGGAGTAATCTGTTCTTATACTTGTGTACAAGATCAACACAGAGTAGAAATGAAAATAGTTTTCTAACCACTTGACTCATTCTAGTCAGTTATTGCTTGTTTTAATTCTGTAAGCTACACAGTATTACAGTATGAACACAGAGCTTTTACAGTATCCTGCATGAAACTTGCATTTAGGTTTATTCAGAGCAGTCTTTAAAAACATAACAAAAGACAAGACTGTAAAATAGGTACAGCATATGAGGGGGATACTTGTAGGAGGGGAGAGGGTGAGCAAAGGAGATTAAAGTGTGGGAATATGGTTGATGGACTTCATATACTCATGCAACATAGAACAAAGAAATCTCTTGAAATAGTTTTAAGTGGGGTGGGGAGGGAGTTGGGGGTTATCTAACGAATGTACAATATAAGCATATTTGGAATTGTTACAATGAATCCCCCCTGTACAACAAATATATCCTAATAAGAAAATTAATTAAAAAATAAAAATAAAAACATAATAGAATTTTGCCCTAAGATAATGCACATGTCTCATTAGGAGGCATCCATTATTAAACTTAGGTTCAGAAGAATCTAAAAATAGCCATTGTAATGAAAAGACTTATGCAGAGTGGTAAGAGAAAAAACAGTGGTTTCAAAGAGAAAATTCTGGTTTCAGAACTAGGGCTTGAAAAATTTTAAACTACATAATTGTGGACTTATGCAATCATTAATGTTATGTCAAAATACATTTTGTATTGTATGGGAGAAATTTTTTTACGTGAGTTAATCACAGTTACTGTTCTATCAAAAGGTTATTTTAAACTGCAGCAATAAGTAAAATTATGCATCTTAATGCCTAGTTTACATCTTAATGGCTAGCTGCAGAGATTTGTCAATTACTCTTATAGCTAATAATGTAGGGTACTAAACTAGTTATTTCAAACTTCAGATGGACTTTTTGACCTGAAATACAAAGTTAGATTAATTTATTTTGTTTAACTACACAATTTCTAGCCTCTTGACTATAATTTATATTTTTAAAATTCTATTCACTCTTCCTTCAGTAAGAGGAAATTTCTGTATAATATTTTGATGCTAATGTCCTCCATTTGTATGCCCATTTCTTAGTTCAGAGGAATTCTATGCTTGAGTCTAAGTTAAATCAATTTTGCATTAAATATGCACTAATATGTACTAATCTGTCAAAGTTGGCCTGTACAGCTAACTCTAAACTACTTGTGTAGTTACCAACATCCTCTTCACTTTACCCTCCTCAGACCCTACTTAACAGTTAAGTCTTGTGTAGTTACCAACATCCTCTTCACTTTACCCTCCTCAGACCCTACTTAACAGTTAAGTCCAGGAAGACCTGTCTGCTTCATGGCTTTGCTCAGTTGTTGTTTGATGAGATCTCAATTTTCATTGGTGTTAACATTTTTTATCTCACATGTTACAATATTCAGTAACTTTGTCCCATAATACCTTTTAATCTGTGAAGAGATACTTTTTAAACATGTACATGATTTTAAGATAAAATTAAGATTTTTCAATTTATTTAGTTTTCAGGATATTCTAATTAAATTTTTATAGATAATTGATTTTTTAGCTTCTAATGGTCTCAAGGTTCTATTTTGGGGAGTTGACATACAATAGAGTCCTCGTACAATGTTGATATTGGTGTTTAAAAATACCACAAACACAGGCCAGGCTTGGTGGCACATAATTGCAATCTAAGCTACTTGGAAAACAGGAGAATTGTGGTACAAGGTTAATCCTGGGAAAAGTTAGTGAGACCCAATCTCAAAAAGAAGCCAGGTGTAGTGGTACAAACTGATCGAGGTGGTGCACATGTAGAAGCCCAGCTACTCTGGAAGTGGAGGTAGGAGGATCATAGTCCGAGGCCTGGCCCAGGCAAAAGTGTGAGACCCTATCTGAAAAAAGCAAAGCAAAAGGACTGGCAGTGTGGCTCAAGTCGTAGAGTGCTTAAGAATTAGTTCAATCCTCAGTACCATCAAAAAACACAACAAAAAACACAGGGATTATAGGGATAATGAGATAATACACTTAGAAGATTAATTCTTCAGGGATGCATTGTGAGCAGAAACAGTAATAAATCTAATATAACAAATCTTGAATAACTATGATGGTATCTTATAGACATTTTCCCATTTACTTCATAAGAGAAGACATGATTTTGTGATTCCATATCTGTTATTCATCCACCTACATCTTTAATTAGTATTTAGAGATTTTTTTAGAATGTATTTAGTGTTAAATTTCAGACATTTTTAGTATTTTAATTATTCATGGAAATTAAATTGAATTACATTGTGATTTTCTTGAAGAAAGGAAGCCCTGTTCCTTAGGAAATAAAGCTGTATTTTTGCAGCAGTTGGGAGAGAAATTGATTGGGGGTAATCATTAATGGTTCTGAATTCAACCATTATTGAGTATTTATGGTACCCACATACATTTATTTAAGCATTTTCATTTGTAGTAGAAATTACATAATAGTAAATGTTAAATCATGATTCCCTCCCTTCTGTTTAATGTATACTTCTTTTGTTTGTCTTTATATTCTTTGCAGGTTATGTCCAAGCATCAAAGAGAGACAAAAAATTTTTTGCCTGTGCTCCAAATTACTCCTATGCAGCCCTTTGTGAGTGCCTGCGCCGAGTATTCATCTACCGTCAGCCTACTCCCATGCCTACTGTGCTTTACAACAGAAAGGAAGGAAGGCACGTCGGACAGGTTGCTAAGCAGCAAGTAGCAAGCCTAGAAACCAATGATCCTATTTTAGGCTTTCAGGCAACAAATGAGAGATTATTTGTTCTCACTACCAAAAATCTCTTTTTAATAAAAGTAAATACAGAGAATTAACTTCTGCAACATGTTGGCTGTCTGTACTGGAAAAGTATTCAGTGGTACCTGGAGGACTAAGTGGTTATACCATACCCTGATATATATTAATGTCTTAAGTAAAAATACCTTGTATGAATTTTTATCATTTCAGGGATATTAGAAATGTATCCAAGACATTATGATTCTGTAAAAGCTATTAAGTGAAGCTACAGATTTAGAGAACATTGATTTCTGTAAAAAACATAAAGATTGTATTGGCAAGTATAATTATTTTTTAAAAACCAACTAGACTCTCCTCTTTTATATGAAACATGTACAGTTCAGTGTTTAAAAATAAAAATATTTATCGTGTGCTCTGTTCATGGATTATGTTGGTATAGTCTATACCCAGAGAATATATAGGGTAACACATATAATGTTTAGCTTTGTAAATAAGTACTTAAATAGATTGAATAGCTTACTCTACATAAAGGGGGATTTGCAAAAATATAGCAGGTCAAAAGTTTTAAAGGATCCATGAAATGAGGATCCATTATTATTTTTCAAATTAAGCAAAGTTTTGTTTAGTTTTTATCTGTTTGTTCTGCCATAAAGATGATAATGTTCCACATTATCCATTGTTGTGACAAACTACCTAAAGCTCAGTGTTTTTTTAAAATAAAGTTGATGATTTTTCATAGTTCTGTTAGTTGGCTGTCTGCTCTGCATGGTCTTTCAACCTCTACTAGTCTAAAGTGGGTTCTTCCCATTACAGAGAACACATTCTAAGAGGGCACGCTCCACAGTGCTAGAGCTTACCCAGCCCGTACTTCTATCATATTTGCTAATGTTCCTTTGGATAAAGCAAGCCACATGACCAAACCTAGGCTCCTTGTGAGAGGTGATGTCATACAAGGAGGTATAACAGCTGGAGGTGATGATTCACTTGGGGCTATTAATGTAAATCTACACAGGAATGAATTATAAATTCTCCTTATTAAGTAAATTCTCCAAATTTTCTCACAGTTTAAATAAAATAATCCTGTTTATACTTTGAATTATTTTCACCATGAGTTTTATTTTTTTCATACTTATTATTTCTTCAAGGTTTGTCAAGGCTAGGAGCATAGCTCAGTGTAGAGCACTTCTCTAGCATGTTCAAGGCCCTGGAATAATCCCAAGCATTGCAAAATAAATAAAATAACCTATGTTAGTTTCCTGGAGGGAAATTTAAATAGGTTAAGAATATAATATATTTTCCCACTATTTAGAATAGAAGATTTACAACTTCACTGCAGGATCAAAAGATCCCATAAATTTACTTCTTTCTTCCCTTTGTGGTAACAGGAAGTTACCTGTTAAAAGTATCACAGAAGTTACTTTTAACTTTCTTTTCAAAAACAAGCAGTTTTGAGGAGTCAAAGTATTTTGGAGTGACAAAAAATTCCCCCTTTTAAAAAAGCAGTTGAAGGAGCTAAGGATGGAGCTCAGTGATACAGTGTGTACCTAGCATGCATGAGACTCTGGGTTTGATCCCTTGCACTGAAAAAAAAAAATTAAAGCAATTGCAATTTATTTATTAAACCCTTATTTTAATAAAAATATTAATGAAGTAATCCATAAATTCAGATGTAAAAATCTAGAATAAAACCTCAATATTTAGAGTATACTTACATAATAAAATTGTTTTCAGCATGAATTCAGGCCTCTTGAGTACAAACAACAGAAACCTGACCCAAACTGACAGGCAAAAAGAGAACTGGCTTATGTTACCAAAAGTCCAAAAATAAGTGTGACTTTAAGCCTTGCTAGGTAGGACTGGATGATATAATTGCAGACTAGTTTCTCACAACCACCAAGTTCCATCCCCTGTCAGTTCCTATATTTGAGTGCTGTTCTTACTGTAGTGGCAAATACTATCTTTATATCCCTTCATCCAATGCAAGCACTTGTCCCAGAAGTCACAGCAAGTGCTTATTGTGAATCATGGGTTCTAAATGGGTCAATTGCCCATTCATGAGCCAGTCACCATGATCAGGAATTTGCATTTACAATGTACCCATTGACTTCTTATTAAATAATGCTCTCCTTATCTGGTGTCAAGAATGGAGCCAGTAATACACAAATAAATAGAATTAGGAAGAAATTTTAGTATAGCCTTCATAATAAAGGAAAATGGATGCTAATACTCCAAAGTATAGAAACTAGGCACTGAAATGCTACTGCATTGCAAGAAAGCAGAAGGAGAGTGAAATATTAATAGAAATTTTTATAAAAGTCAATACCCAATTTAAGAACAATTTAAACACTATTATTGAAAACTTGAAAATTACAATTGACAGAAACATGAAAAATTTTCTAGTCTGAGTCTGATAGTTCAGACCTGTAATTCCAACTATACAGAAGTTGCAAATGGGAGACTTAATGGTTCAAGACCAACCCTGGGGAAAACAGGTGCTATACATCTCTAATCTCAGCTGCATGGGATTCATGGGTAGGTGAATCAGGGTTTCAGGCTGGCCCCTGACAAAAAAATAAGACCCCATCTGAAAAAAGCAGAAAGGCAGTTGAGCATGGCTCAAGTGGTGATCACTTGCTAATCAAGAACTTAGGATCAATTCCACCTGCTACTCAGAATCTGAACTTTGGTCTTCTCCATCCTTTGACCAAAGCATCTGAAACCACAGGACAATTACATTGTGTCCAAGGACTGAAGACACCTACCAAGAGGTCGTGGGACTTGTTCATGGACATTTTCTCCATTTGTGTATGCATTCTTCCCTTTGTTTTCTATCAGTTGCATATCCTGTGGTACTTCTCAACATTCAGGAACCTGTATAAGTTCTCACTTCATCTGCCTTCCTTGGAACACTGATAATCTGAATTTATGTCTTCCAAATTGCGATTCTTCAGTGTCCCCCTTCCCCCCCTTTCCAGTGTCTGAGTTTAGATTGATGAACACAACATACAACTGTTGAAGGCTTGTAAAGGGACAAGTCTGAGGGGAAATAAAATGGAGAAATGTTCCTAGGAACAAATGGTAGAAATAATATAACCCTGGGGATGGCAAAGTAATTTTGTTTTACATAAAGGAGATAGGAAGGCATACTTAAAGTCAAAACATTTAGGGAGGCTGAGAAATCAGCTTAACACATAGATGCTAAGCCACAATAGTTTCTCTTTCTACATAAGGAAAACAAGATAAAATATTCCTAAGGGCAGACATCTAAAGGGATGAGATATAGACCCCTAAAGAGAGAATAACACAACAAACTTTCTCAAAATAAAAGGGGTTTCACCTGAACAACGAGCAGTAGTCATAAAATGTAGGTGATAAGCCTCAAAGGCAGGATGAAACCTCTTGGAATGGATGAATAGATGGTCAGGCTTGAGCAAAAGTCAATTAGGCAGTCAATTACAGCCACCACAGTGTCCAAGGTACAGTGGAGAAGGGTGCTAAATCTCATGAATTTTAATTATCCTATGGCTTGGCTTTCACCAAGTCTCACACATGAGGGTGCTTTGCTGTCCTTCCAGTACACTTTGTTCTTGCTTTACTCTTAAATCCTGGTCTGTAGTGTGAACTTGCTTTAACTCTTAACTGCTTGTCAGGTGCCTTCAGTCATTGACTGCACCAGGACATGAACTTGAACTCGGGGAACAACAATCCAGTCCAGTATCAGGTCCGTGAAGTCTCTGGTCAAGAGATTCCCAAATTCTTTGTGTCCCGCATGAAAGCATCCAAGCAGAATACATGGATGTAGTAAGGGAGGTAATAGTTTATTAAAGGTTTATTAATAGTTTATTTTAGGAAAAGGCATTACAAAAAGCAATAGTGACCCCACCTGTCCCACCTGGCCAGGAGGATTGGAAAAGCAGGACGCCAAGAGAGCTGGCTCATTTTACGTTGCCATATAAACTTGGGAGGGGGGGGATACCTGGGCAGTGCCTGAGCACCAGTAATCAAGGAGTGGGGAGGGATTTGAGCCATCTCCATAGGTTAGGCTAGAATGTCATCAATATTTATGTTCTTATCTGAGAGATAATGGAGGGTAAAATCACCCCAAGGCTTTTTGTCTTAAAATTTACTCAGCAAAGAACAGCATTGGGCTGAGATAAGGAGCTTAGTGTGAAAAGTGCTGTAAGTTACATAGTTTCTGAGGAGTTCCATAGCAACTTTCCCCTATTTTAGCCTGCCTCACAACTGTGTTTAAAGTATTGTGATATTGTGAAATACATATTAGGTCTTCAGTCCCATTTCCTGAAATACAACTCCGAAAATCATTAGAATCTCCAAAGTGATGTGTACCTTTTTGTATACTAATGAGTTTAGTGATGGCTGGCTACTCCTACTTAGCTCTGGATGGGGACTGATACTGGGAAGATGAAGCCATGGCTAGAGGATTGGGACTTGAAATTCCACCCCCTTCCAACGTTCTGAGGGGTTAAAGGTAGAGTTGATCACTAATTACCAATGACTTAGTCATACCTGTATAGTGAAGACTCCATAGAAATCCACATGGGTAGAGCTTTTGCATAGCCTAACTTATCAAGCTTCCAGGACAGTGAATAAAAACATCTAGATGCCGGAAGAGTAGCACACATCCCAACCCCCAGGAGACAGAAGTTCCTATACTTGGCATCCTTCTAAACCTCACTCACTTTATGCCTCTGGTAGTTTATTTGTAACCTTTAATCTTTTATAAGACTAGCAGTGTGGCTCGGTGGTAGAGTGTTTGTCTGGCATATGAGAGTCCCTGGGTTTGATCCTCAGCCCTGCAAAAATAAAATTTTAAAATAAAATATCCTCTATAATAAAATAGTAAACAAGTTTCCCTGAGTCCTTTGAGCTGTTCAAAAAAATTAATTAAACTTGAAGAGGGGTCATGGAAACGGATTCACAAACAGTAGGTCAGAAGCACGGGAAAATAAGTAACCTAGGGCTTGTGATTGGCATCAGATGTGTGGGATAGTATTGTAGAACTGAGCCCTAAATGCCGGGGAACTAAACCTAGCTCTAAGTTAGTGGTAAGAGAAAACTTATGAAATGTCCTAAATTTAATTTAAAATTTTAGAGAATGGAAGAGAGGAGATAAGGGAGAGGTTAACTAGTTAACCAGTTAACACTGGAGCCATGAACAAAATCAGCATTTCACATTCTTGAATGTATACTACAATCTTAAATCCCAACACAACGCACTAAGCCCCACCTCATCTGCATCACAACTTCAGCCAATCCAGAAGCAATAATTACTTCTCTTTGTGGCCCGCCCTCCTATCTCAAAGCTTTCCTCACTTTGCATAGTCCTGCCTTTCATCTATAGCTAATGCAGGTTCATTGGAAATAACTTGTTCCAGGACCTTATCCTTTCTTACTAGCATCTATAAAAGCTCAGTAAACCCTTTTATTTCAGAGATCCCTTGGTCTCAAGAGTTTTTGATTTAATGATATTGCTAGAATTGAATTGGTGTGTGTGGGAAAGCTCCAC